CTCACTGGCTGAGCGTGGTGCTGACAACACCAAGCCCAGGGTTAAGATCCCCTCACGGGTCATCTTTATTTAAAAAAAAAAAGAAAAGAAAAGGCTGTCTGTCTTAGGGGAGTTGCTAGATCCTGAGGCTGCACCTCAGCTTTTCTGGTCTACAAATTCAGGTGTTTGGGGAATTCAGAGGGGCTTCAACTGTTGGGAACTGCCTCGTGGGAGACTGGGGTTCTGAGCAAAACCCAATTTCTTCGTTTTCAGTGGGGATATTTACAGTCATGGGGGTCCTCTTGCCCTCTGCCTAGAGCTGTGCTCCTCAAAGTGTAGTGCCCAGACCAGCAGCAAGGGGGCTTGCAAAATCTCTGACTCCACTGCAAACCTACTGGATCAAATCCCATGTGATCCTGTGATCACGTGCATATTACAGTTTGGGCAGCAATTACAAGGAGAATAATGATTCTTGTTACTTGGTAAGTTTAGAAACAATATGTTGACACATTCTTTTTCAGTCAGATGTTGAAAACCACCACCTTTTTCTGTACAAAGTCCTATTTTCCTGCGCAGGCGCTCCTGCCATTTTAGGTAAGAGGTAGTTCAGCGTGTGGGATCTGGGGGTCAGACTATTTGAAATTAGAATCTTGCCTCCACCATTTACCTGCTGTGACGTTGGGCAAGTTGATTAACTTCTCTGTGCCTCCTATTCTTCCTCTGTAAAGTGGAGATAATAGAGTTGTTATAAGGCTTAGATACATAAAGTGCTTAGCACTATACCTAGCATTTAGCAAGCACTCGTTTGGATATTAATTAGATTTGGGTGTCCCCCAATTTTGTATACACTACATTTACCATCTTTTAGGACAATATACTTCTATAGTTGGTAGTCTCATCCATTATGCACAGGATCTCAGTTTTATTTTTCAAAAGTGACTTTTATTCCTGAGGGCAACTTACTGTTACCCCAAAATATAACCACTTCAAAACTGTCCATTTATTCAGCCATTCGATACCCACCATCTGCAGGGAATTGAACTTTTTAACTGTGACCTTGGAAAATGCCTCTACCTTTTTAATGATGATTTATAGGGCTCACCTTCCTGGTTCCAGGTACCTTCAAAAGCATTGTTTCATTTCATCATCCCAGCTGTGTGATGTAGGGAGAGCAAGTATTATTATCCTATCACACAGGGAACTGGGAGTCCCAGAGCCCGTGGTTCCACAGCTAGCAAGTAGAAGAGTGGGGCCCAGAATACCTGGCACAGCGGCCCTGGCAGGCACTGGATGCATGAATAACTCCAAGTCCAGTGTTCTTCCCACCACCGTGTGTTGCCTCCACATTGAAATCAGAGAAGTGGCTTGATTTATGAGGATGGGGATGGAACTTCCAGGCCATGTAAGGGAGAGAGTACTTCATTGTGTAAGATGACCTCTACTGCAAATACTGTTTTGTTATCCGCATAAGAACTCATGTTTATCAGACTCATGTTCTGATTATTGAGTTCACAAAATATGGTCACTGTAACTCCTAGACTAATAGGGGAATAGTTTAGGGCAAGAGGAGCTCAAGATTTTTAAAAATTACTATAAAAACAATACATGCTTATGTAAAAGCTATACCACAGAGAAGGGCAGCGAGTTAAAAGTATACCTCCTTATAATCCCAACTTTCTAATCTAACCCCCAAATAATTACTGTTAACGGCTCCTTGTGATGCACGCACACAGAAGGTGTTTATATTTTTCTGTAATACATAAGATATACCATTTTTAGTCAAATGAAATCATAGCATGGAGTTAATGCAATTTGTTCTTTGTTCTTTTCACTTAACATTGTTTGAGATAACTTTGCACATCACTGTGTATAGATCTCCCTGATTGTTTTCTTTTTAATATGTACATAATTGTTCATTATAAAGTGTGTGTGTGTGTGTGTGCGTGTGTGTCTTTGTACAGGTGGATAAGCTGAGTCATAGGCTATTTGAATGTTTTCATTTTATATGATATTGTCAGACTGTACCAGTTTAGGTGCCCACCCAGCACATAAAAGAAAATGCCATTTTCAAGGCTGGTGCTGTTT